CCCTATACTTTCTTCTATGAGTTTTATGGTCTCAGGTCTTATATTTAAGTCTTTAATCCATTTTGAGTTTGTTCTTGTAAGTGGCATAAGGAGGTGGTCCAGTTTCATTTTTTTGCATGTGTCAGTCCAATTTTCCCAGCACCATATATTAAATAGGCTATCCTTACCCCGTTGTAACTTCTTGCTTCCCTTGTCATATACTAACTGCCCGTATAAGCCTGGATTTACTTCTGGGCTTTCTATTCTGTTCCATTGATCTATATGCATGTTTTTATCCAAGGAGGCTATTTTAGATGTCTGGAATAAAACAGCTACGAAGTGTTTACTATAATTAATCCTGGTCATGTATTGTACTCTTATTTATATTAAAATGCAACCAAGTCTCCTACTTAATTTGTGAGCCTCCCATAAATTACAGTTGATTAGTGTTTGGAAATTTTCTTTCATATTTCTAGAAAACATGACCTTAAATATTTTTACTAGATCAGAATATTCCCTCTTATACTGATATAATAATTAACTAATATCAGTAATGTACATCTTCTCTTTCTTTTACAGTCAAACAGAATTCAAAGTATTTGAGAGACAGCATAGACTATATCAGAGCAGTGTTTGAGGGCAAAGCTTAACAATTATGGACACAGAGACTTGTATTTATGCAGAAATCTCCTGCTTTAAATTTTCAAAAAGCATATTATGAGACAAAAACATTTATCACAAGTTTTAAACTGCACAGAGAAAATATTAAAAGCAATTATATAAGTATTGGTATTTTTAATAGTGCTAATATTTTTTCTTAAAAAATATTTAGCAATAGTTTCAAGTTTAGATAAAAAATATGAATGTGGTACACAGAACACCATATGCCATTTACTGATGTTGCTGTTAACATTTTGCCCCATTTGCTTAATTGTGTGTGTATGTGTGTGTGTGTGTGTGTGTGTGTGTGTGTGTGTGTGTGTGTATTTCTGAACCATTTAAGATTAAGCTGCATACATCATACCTCTGTACCCCAAATAGTTTAGTGTTTATTTCATGTCACTACTTGTTTGGAAAACTATTTAATCAGCCAGTTAGTTAAAGTTGTAAAAGATACTTTTAAAGAAGAACTTTGAATTTAAAAACTACCATTACCAGCACAGCAACAAAAGCCCTAAGAAATCATCAAAAGAGATTTTACCTAAAAAAGAGAGTCACTATTCTCCAAGATATGGTACAGGAATATTTTTTGAGAGAGAGAAAAGCACTGGTTATTTGAAAAGACTGATATCCAGAGAGATTAGGTGAAACTCAAAGTGGGTATTCCACTATCAATATTATGTAATCCAAAGTTCTACTTGATGTCAGCAGAATAAGAGCATATATTACACAGCAAACCACATAACAAATCCACACCAGGAATTGTGAATGACCATGGCGTAATTGCTGCTGTATTAACAAATACAGCCTGAAGTCTCAGAGGCTTAGCACAATAAAACTCTTATTTCCCATTCTTCTGGTTCCTGGTGCATGTGTTCCTGGATAGCAGATTTCATGGGCAACTCTCCTCCACACAGTGGCCCAGGAAACCAGGCTTCTCTCTGGTAGATCTCCATAACCTAGGGCCTTGGAGTTCCCACTGGGTCCTCTCTAACCAGCTGGAAGATAAAATGTGAACAAAAGAGTAGAGGATCAAGAAAGAGCCTTTAGGGGCCAGCTCTGGGAGAGGCGTGCATCACTTCCTTTCACAATCCATTAGCCAGAACTCAGCTCTAAGTCCTATTAACCACAAGAGACTGGGAGATGTAATATT